TTAGCTTCAGAGGACAATGTGTAGAAGTTGTAGGCTCAACATTAGGAAAACCAGTCATCAAAAGTAATTAGCAGAGGAAAAGACTCTCTCAGGACACAGTGAGGGAAGGGTGACCACTTGGTGAGGGTGTTTTATAGGCGATGACTACCGAGGCAGAAGTTGGAATGGGTGGTAGTTCTAATTCCAAGTCTGTGGTTCTGTGAAAAATTTCAACTCGAACCTCAGGGCAATAGGGGGTCACTAAAGGTTTCTGAGCAGGAGAATGACAAAGGACAACTAACCTTTCAGTACTGAGCAGTGTATGGAGAAGTACAGAGAGGCTGCAGTTATCCAGGTAGGAGACTGAAAAATATGTGGCCAGAAAGGGCTCTAATGAGTCCCTAACTTGGCCCATGGTCACAAAGAGGGTAAGCTGCAAAGCTGGGATTCAAACCAATTGATCAGACTCTCTCAAGTTAGCACTTTCCACTATATCACATGCCTAGACTAGCTTGACCCCAGTGGGAATTGAAATGAAGGGACAGCTACAGGCAATGTCTCAAAGGAAGAAATCACAAAACTCAGTGACTGGTTGAATCTTAAGCGACAAAAGGGAATGAAGAAGAAGAATTGACTCCAATATTGACAGCCTGGGAGAACTAAGGTATTACTGACTGAAATGGGTAAACTGGGAAGGGGAGTAACCTAGGGGAAAAGAATGTAGAAGGAAAGGGGTTTTGCTTCAGACAAGTTTGAGGGGACAGAGGGACATTCAATTCAAGCTGTGAATGATCTACCAAGACCAAGGCACTGTGCTAGGAAATAGGAAAATAAAAAGAAAAAAGAAAACATTACTAACCTCAAGGAGCTTGTAGTCTATGGCCCAAATGCACAAGTGGGAAAATACAAAGTTTAAAAAATGCAAAACCAAATCATCTGTAGAGGTGAATGCTCTCAAAATGGCAGCGGGATGAGAGAAGAAATCAAGAAAGGGCCCATGTAACAACTGAGCTACACTTTGAAGGAATCTAGGGATTCGATGATGAGGTGGAAGTTAGGAAGGAGCACATTCTAGACCTGGATACATTCTATACCACTTGATACAAAGTCAAGGAGGCTCGAGATACAATGCCATATTCAGTAAACAGCTGGCAAGTCAGCTGGACTAGAACATGGTGTGTGTGAAGGAAAAGAATATGAACTAAAACTAGAAATGTAGGTGAGAAACAGACTGCAGAGAGTTTTCAGTGCAAGCTGAGGCATCTGTGTATTATCCTAGAGTGAAAAGAGAACCACTGAAGATTTGTAAATGAGGGGGAAACAAGGTTAAATCTGTGTTTTAGGAATTCATTGGCAGTTGTGTGGATGAACTGGAGGGAGGGGGCAGAGACTAGAGTCAAGGAGACCAGTTACAGGGCTACTGTAAGAGTCCAGATGAGAACAGAGAGAAGAGGACAGATAAAGGAGATACAATCAACAAGACTTGGCAATGATAAGATATAGAAATTAAGGGAGATAAGCCTATAGCACACCCAGATAGAGATGGCAATGGATAATGTGGGACTGAAGTTCAGGAGAGAGATTAAAGCTGGACAGATACATTTGGGAGTGACTGCCACAGAGATGCTAAAAATGAACCCATGGAATCACCAGGGAAATAATATGGATAAGGAACCCATGGAAGCTCATGAGATTACCAGGAATAAGAATGGATAAGAAGAACCTATAAAAGAAAGAGAGGAGATGGCTGAGGGGAAAAGCTACCAGAGGAGATAGGGGAATATATCCAAGACATATATACAGTGGTTAGATGTGGCAAAAGAAAAAAAAAAGCCATCTAGTCATCAGAGAAAAAAGGAGGAGGGAAGAGATGAGATGGTGTGGGGAAGAACAGAGAACTATTGATCGATAGCCTTCATTTTCTAAGTAGGAGGCAAAGTTCTCTGTTGAAAGGGAAGAGGTAGCAGGAGAAGTCTGAGGAGAAGGGAAATGTTCTAATAACTACTGTGGAAGAATAAAAAGAATGCTGTACAGAAAGGAGAGCTCATGTAAGGTTAGAGAAGATAAAGTTGTACGGAACCCAGATACCATAGCTATATAACTTTCTTCAGGAATACTGAGCACAGGTGAGTAGAAAATGGAGGTAACTGGTAGGGGTTGTCCAGGATTGAAGTCTGATAAAGGGTGAGGACAAAGGGGAAAGGGATGCAAGGTAACTGATAAGAGTATGTTTGAAGAAGCCAGCCACATTGTCAAGACTGTGAAATTAGGGAAGGGAGGCCAAGGCAAGCATGATAGACTGGGAGAACAGGGAAGAGTGGGAGGGACAATTGGTAACTGTGAAGACAAGGAAAAGGTTTAGGGGGGATAAGGCAACAGGAGAGATTGAAGAATAATAGGCTTTAGTCAGAATGAGGGTATAGAGATGGAAGAGTCATGGCTGACATACCAAGGATCTCACCATCCCTATGGGTGGCCGAGATGGAGTGAAAATGGAGATATTGGCACATCCAAGGGGAACTATCAGACCTGCAGCCTTCAAAGTGGGGTACACACATGCAAGGGGGCATGCAAGATGACCCACTAGGAGGACATGGAAAGAAAAGGTTAAAACTTCCATTTGTATTTACTTTTGCTTAAAAAATAAAAGAAATTTCATTACTATTTAACATAAGGCTTGAGACCAGTGCCTTCTCTGCCTATGTGTCGGGTATGCCATGTAACACAGGGTACATGTGCTATGCTGAGGAAGGAGAGATCCAGAACAGAGAGGGGCTGGTGGCAGTGCCCTAATTGGCTTGCTTTTAGAATGTTGTGACACATTGCAGCTTGTGTGTGCCCAGTTAAGAGGATTTCTGGATCACATGATCTAGTTTTAACTAAACTAACTCTTAAAAAATTAGCAAATGGCTTAAAGAGATTCCTGCAAAAATTCTTGAAGATAATACTAATAATGTGAGCACAAGAGAACTAGAAAATGACACAGGTGACACTTCCATTCCCAAGATCTAATAAAGCAGAGCCTGAATTCAGTAAGTCTTTCTCAAGTACGTGTCAGGCACAAGGGTAAATGCTAGAGATCCCAGGACAAAACTGAAACAATTTTGCCTTTCGAGGGTATACAAGGCAAGGGAGGAGAGAGGAGAAGGAAAATCACGTACAAGTAAAAACAATAAATATATGAAGTAATTTGGTGCGCAGGGCTGAGAACAACTGGTAGGATCAGGACCACTTGAGCTGAACAGTGACAGAATTAGAACTCAAGTCCTCTGACTCCAAAGCAATGCTCTTCCCACTGTGCCATATTTTTTGGCATTTATCCATTCCTCTCTTCCGTTATTTCTTCTCTTCATTCTGGAACTTATACCTGTCCCTTAAAGAGCAACTCAAATACCTCCTCATCTGTGAAATGCTTTGATGTGATCCCACCTCCCTGCTCCCCATCCCTTGAACCTCACATAGCACTCTGCTTTGCCCTTTTCTAATATACTTCCAGTATTTTTGGTTAGTGCAGTATTGGAAGAGAGATCCAGACTTCAGGGTGGAAAGACCTTGGGCCAAGTTCTATTGTTGAACTCCAATGAAATCATAGGTCAAGGGGGAAATGGGGAAAGCTACTTGTCAACAATATGTCATATCCTACTTGACCATAAGATCCATGAAGGCAGGGACTGAGTCATGCCTAGACTTTCTTTGTAGCAAAACACTCAACATAAGAGATGTGCAATAAATGTTTTAATTGAAACAATTTATAAAACATAATTACATATGAAGTATTGTACTTGGCACTAGAATCTCTAATTAGTAGGATGTCTTGACAGTGAAAAAAAAAAGCCTGCCACCCATCATTCTTCATTTGTAGAGATATAGATATGATTAGACATTCTATCAGGTAAAGGATTTTTTAAAAGTTTTTTTATTTTATTTTTATTTTTTTGCTTTTTGGTGAGGCAATCAGAGTTAAGTGACTTGCCCAGGGTCACACAAGTAGTAAGTGTCAAGTGTTTGAGGACAGATTTGAACCAGGTCCTCTTGACTCCCAGGCTGGAGCTCTATCCATTGCACCACCTAGCTGAAGGTTTGGGGGTTTTTTTGCATGTTTTACAGTAAAACTGGGTGGAGACGTATAATCCAGTCTTCTTTGCACTAGGTGATAGATGTCACCTTAGTAGAGCCAGATATCTAGTTCACTTATCTGCTGTGCAACAGATTTGAATCTACAAGTAACTCCCACTAAGTAACTATGATTTCTATAGCACTTTCAGGTTTACAAAGCAAGTCAGAGAATCGAAAACTTTCAGCATGTTAGGGCTAGAATGGATCTTAGATTATTTAATCTAATCTGCTCATTTTACAGAGTGGGAAACCAAGGCCCAACTAACCTGAGAGGTGTTGGCTTCCCTCTCAACGACAACTCTAAAAAAACCACCCTAAAAGTAACACTTTGTAATAGGAAGTAGTCACAGAGGCTATCACCTTCACAACAGTCCTGTAAGGTAAGAGTTATTATTATCCCCATTTCACAGATAAGGAAACTGAGGCACACAGAAGTTAATTGACTTTCCCAGGGTCACACAGCTAGTAAGAGTCTGAGGCCAGATCTGAACTGAGATCTTCCTGACCTGGGTCCAGCATTCCTTCCACTCTGAGTTTCAGTTTTCTTATCTAAAAATGAAGATATTATCACTCATTCTTTCTCCCTTGGGAGTGGTGAGGATCAAATGAGATAATAGATATATATGGTGCTTTTCTTTTTTAATAATAAAGTAGCTCATATAAAATGTGACTTATATAAACAACACTACTCACAGAAGTTCATACCCCGAGGCATCTGAGCAGGACCCTAAAGCATAACCAGGACATGTGAAGGGTACTCAGTTCTCTCTTAGGGCAGGTTTTATGTCATCTTATGTGTTCTCACCATGTAGTGTCTACGCATCACCACAAGCTGTTTTCCTCTCCAGGTTGCTGTGTCGTTCAATGTTATTTCTGCAAACCATCCACTCCCCGACACTGCTTACCCGTTTGTCAATGTCGTTGTGTTGGAGCTGCACAAACCGTGCACTGATTGCGGCAATGTAACTCTGCTGATTGGAGAATGCCACTCGGCCAGCGCCTTTTGGGTACTTCAGTTCTGGGTCCGTATCAATGCCAGCATAGCAGACGCCCCCATAAAGACGGTCCATAATCATGGCCAATTCAACTGCAAGAAAAGAAGTGGGAATGTATAACAAATATTTTAAAGGCTTTGCCTGGGGGAAGGGAGGAGAATAATTTAGGAGTCATATGACAAAAGTGAAGGAAAATTAAGAACAGAATGAAAAAAATATCCAAAGCAGTCTTCTAATAAATAGGAAGCAGTAGAAGCACCACCTTTTGGGATTTTTACAAATGAAACTAACAAAAACACTTGAAAGACTTACCAAAGGGAGCACATTGGCCCAAATATCAAATTATGGCCAGCAGCATGCTTCCATCTCTAATTTCTAACTGCTTAGTCTACAAAATAACTCTATGTAAACAGTATTTCAAAATCTCTAGCCACATCTAAAGAATGGGATGACCCACCAGCTGATAAAACAGCAAGCCATCATTACCATTCACACACCCTCTATTCCACTGCCCTGAGGATATGCCATAGAGAGTTAAATACTCAAATTTAGTCACTTTCTATAGTTTTTTTTCTTTTGTCTTAGAACAAAATGCTGTTCCAACTTGGAAATAGCCACATTCAACTCCCATGTAGAAAAGTGGATAGCAAATAAAAGTGATGTAGTGATAATAAATTAAAATAGATTTATATAGGGATTCTAGAAGTGGTGTCTGACTACACTATCAATATATGGATACAACCTAGACTAGGTGTCAAAATTCTTCTAAACACACCTAGTTTGGTACAATGCTCAACTTCTTTGCCTGCTCTAAAAAGCACCTGTGGAAGAGGCATTTATAAATTAGTTTAATCAAAAGGACTTACTTTCTAAATATGTTCTTAGAGCAAAATACTCTATCTAGGGAGGGAAATGGAGATAACCTGAATTTCCTGAAGGGAAAACTACTGGGTGTTGGATCTCCATGTATGGGTACTACAGGGAAGCCCTTCCTCAAGGTCTGGTCATTTCATTTAGGTCACTGACACAGCACAAATCAGGGAGGCTTAAACTTAACCCTAGAGGGCACCCAAGTAATTATTTTCCTCAACCATCTACATCCTGAAGAGCAAAGAAAGAGTAGAAAGGATGAAGACCACGGCCACAGTGACCTTCCTGACACTAAATGCGCCATACAAGCAGGGCACCATTAATCCTGTGGAGAACATTTGGAAAGGAACATGTGTGTCTGAGGATGGGCAATGTGATGAAAGTGGGGGAAGGTACCGAGCATGGTATCATTCCCTTGCTATATCTAACAAAAAGGAAAGGAAGAACACAATGTTCTTGGGTTTGTAGAGATAGCAAGAAAATTGTGCAGACCTGTCATAGTGGATCTTCCTTCAGAAAGCTAATAAGTAGACTCTATTATCTAAAAAAAAATCTACTCCAGATTATGTAAAACAGATGATCATTTATGTACCCATTTTTACAAGAATAATGTGACAGAAAAGGAATTTTTCACAAAATGAAAAAAATAAAAGGGCTGGCAACCAAATACCATAAATCAAATACCACAAGAGGGTGGTAGGAAAATATCACACCCAATAACACTTCTATGGTCACAAGTACTGGGCAACTGCCAGCCAGGGAGTAACTGCTATCAGACAAGAGATGACCATGGTGCCAATCTGATGGCAGGGTCCAACAAATGATGTTTATTTTTTTAAAAAATGCAACCAGAATCATCAAGAATCTTGCAGATATTCTAAATGATATGGAAATATTGAAATTTCCTGCCTATTGATTATTCATGCCATTGTTAATCTACACCTGTGTTAATTCTATCTCCAAAATCTCAATTAGCTGAAAGTTCTTCCTAGCCCTAAAATTATGAGACTGTATTATTCCAGTATACTCCTTCAGTAATGTCTCTCACTCTTGCACTAAAACTCAAGGGGTCTGGTGGTAAAATTAAACATTATTCACATTTGTCAAAGCATAACTCCCTTTGGTGAAATGGATAGCAGACTCCAATAAATAATCTCTGGGACTCAGAAATGAGTTAAGAGAGTTCTGTAAGCTTGGTTTTAAAGAGTATATGATTATGGGGTAAGTGGAACATACATCCTGGGATAGGCCAGTGGTTTGGAAAAGACTGCTGAGTAAGAGAATGAGAAGAAATTATATTCTGACTTTAGGAAGGAATCTAGGAGACACTTGAAATGCCTACTTATATCTCAGAGAAAGGTATAATAGTCACTCAGACTTGACATTAGCTCAATTCAGGATGAAGTCACAATAACCAGATCTTCTACATTATAAATTTCATTTCTCAAGTACAGGAAGGTTCAAAGGAAGCATTAGCCAGTGAGACAATAACCACAGATGTCCTATGGGACCAGAGAAAATATCTTTGGAGTGTGATGAATCTATATGAAATGCTTGATAAATCTAGCCACTGAAAATGGATCAATTATTCCCTTGCTGTCTCTGTAAGTGGTATGAAAAGCAAAAGCTGAGAGCTGTCTGATAAGAAGACCAAAACTGATGAAGCGGCATTTCAAGTATTTCATTTTTGAAGAAGGAATGCACACTCACATGGGCTTTTCTGGAAACATCATAAGAAATGACTCCCATCAAAGAGCTCGGACCTGTCTTTCTGGGACACCAAAAAACTTTGGGCACTTAAACCAATGGAAGCTATTTACTTATTTGAGGGTTTGTTGTAAAACTACTGGTTTGGAGAAAAGGTAGAAGAAAAGGTGACTAATCTCCAAAGGTAGGAATTAAGGATAGAATGAAGCTTCCTGTTCCTTGTAGTCTAATTAGTCTAAATGTCCTAGTTCCCAAAGAGCACAATCTACCATTACCTTCCGGGAAAAAGTCACAATCGCCTAAATTTGGGGGTTTGGTCCTTTACTCAGATCAGTAACTAATTCACTGAGAATTCATTCTATAAATATGATACTAGGCAAGTATATTAAATGAATTGATGAGGCATCTTTTGCACTTACATGCTAGACAGATGCAGTTTTAGCTATTCCAACCTAGCTGAAGTCACAAATTTATGAGATGTGCTGATGGGGAAGGCTGTCGGCCAAGGATACAGCTTGTGTTCTACCACATAGGAGACAGAGAGAAATGGCCAAAGGGTTGCTATTCAGGTGTGTTCTGAAAGCAGATTGGGCCCTTCCTGACCTTCTTTATAAAAGATAGCCTCCAGTTTGAAGGAGGCCTACCTTTTAGTTTTGTAGCCTAAAGCTCACTAAGGGTATGGGACTGCCTTTAGTTTACATTGCTTAAAGAACTCCTCAGAGACACAATCATTCTTTCTTTCTTTCTTTTTTCTTTTTTTAGTGAGGTAATCAGGGTTAAGTGATTTGCTCAGGGTCACACAGCTAGTAAGCGTTATGTGTCTGAGGCCAGATTTGAACTCAGGTCCTCCTGACTCCAAAGCCAGAGCTCTATCCACTGTGCCACCTAGCTGCCCCCGAGACACAGTCATTCTTAAAGATGAGAAACACTCAAATAAACCTTCTATTTCATGTTGGAAAAGGACCACACCTGTGTTTACTATATTGTAGGGATGAAGAGCTAAGAGATGGAAAAGAAAATAATCTGGAAGACAAATCAAACTTCAAATGCCCCCAGACAGTAATCAAGATGAGGATAGCCTAAAACTAAGATCGTGATATCTCAGCCCAAACAAAGTTCTTAAGCAAAGGATGCCAACACTGAAAATGTAGGAAACTGCCCATACTTCTGGCAGTCTTACCCTCTTCAGATGAAATGGTCCCCAAATGCAGCCTGTTGGCTGAAGAAGAGTCTATAAGACCTAATTCTGAAACATGAGCAAGTCTACAGACCACACTGTCGGAAGCAATTGTGAGGCAGGGGCCACTCTAGGCAATGGTGTAGATGTAGAGAATGTCCACATTACTTCTATGCTTCTTCCCTAGACATTATTCACAGATGGTCCATTTGGTTGCTGGAAGAACCCTTTGGACCATATATCCTGAGTTTACAAGAAGCACCAAGTTAATCTCATGAACTAATGTACGACGAGTATGCACGACAAATAAAACTTAAGACACCTAGTCTTATCATGCAGATCTTGCCATCATTTTCATTCTGCCACAGACTATCCTATGACAAGGGCACCACATCTAGAACATAGGATTCAGCTAAAGTCTGGCTGATGATGCTAAAGATTCCTAAATGACCTTGGATAGACTAATTTGAACCCTAGTCATTTAAATTTGGTTTCTAGCTCTCGGGGAGGCTGTGTTTCTGACTACACAATGACCAAGTTAGGAAATGAACTGGCTTACATGTGTTTACAAGTCCTCTACTGGTAACTCTGGGTATTTTATTAAAATAAATTCCAACAATAGAATAAAGGCAATGCAAAGAACTATACATTCTCCAAGTCTGATATGTTTTTTTTTTTTGGCTAGGCAATGGGGTTAAGTGACTTGCCCAGGGTCCCACAGCTAGTAAGTGTTATGTGTCTGAGGCCGGATTTGAACTCAGGTCCTCCTGACTCCAGAGCCTGTGCTCTATCCACTGTGCCACCTAGCTGCCCCCAAGTCTGACATGTTCCATGAATGGAGGGATAAGTTGGAGAAGGCAGGGAGAATGAGAGGATTACTGAAAAAAAAATGTAGCTTTTTCATAAAGATGTCTTATAATTGATGGTTCAGAGCCTACCCACCTTCCGGGGAATAACTCAGACATAAGAATGGTTAAACCTCACCTTCAGGTAATGAGGAGATCTGAACTTATGAGAGATTTCAAATAGTAGTATCTTTCAGGGTCTCACATCCTAGGTCTGGGTTTTTCTAGACATTTTTCTCCAAATGTCACAAGGGTATTCATGTAGACTGGGTGTGAGCATCTTAAATACAATAGTGAGAGTTTCACAAATCTTAAAACTTTACCTCTGTTTCAGATCTGGAACATTTTCAAGACAGATGATGCCAAGGATATGCAAGAGAGAAACTAAGTCACTGATCAAATTCCTATACAACATTAGGCACATTTAACTCAATTAGATGAGACTGCTGTCAGCTTGACTGCTTGTCACAAGTAGGAAAATATCTAAATCCTCACTAGTTACCGAAATTTGATTCTGCTTAATTCTTATTGATGAGATTTCAATGAACGTTAGTTTGCCCTGGTTTCTGCTCTGTATATTAGCCTTAGTCCTAATTTGGCTTTGGCTTAATTTGTTAACCAAAGTTACCCTGCTTGGTCAAGTTGTTGCACAGCATGACATCAGCTATTAGCAAATATATTTGCTGCCTAAACATGGATATATCATGACATTGGAAAATCTTTGGACCCAAAGGACAATATAGGTAAACCTGTCAATATGCCAGCAGCATATCTCATCTGGGAAAATTTTCTTGATAGCCAATTTGGGAGATGGGGAGAAAAAAAGCTATAGCTAACTAACAAAAACAAACAAACAAACCAGGAAGGAGGTTTAAAGTGGAGAAGAAGATGAAAGAAGAGACAGGGAAGTGCCATGAATAATTTCAGATTTATGCAAAGTAAGAGACTGAAAGACTGTTAACTACTGAAAAGTGATGAACTCATTGGAAAACCATTCATAAAACATTAAGGGAAAAGAGAGAAAGTCCCAGAGAAGTGAGAAGATTCTCAGGAAGAAATTTCAGGATTTGTTGCAAAATAAAAAATACAATAAAAAGAAGAAGGCTAGGGAATTCTTAAGAAGAAAGCTAGGAAAGGCAACAGTACAGTTTCTACTATACTTAGGAAACAGCATGACCAATGATTCTACAATAAACCTATTCCCTAGTGCCTAGACTGGGAAGCCTAATAGTGAAAAGCAAAGGAAGTAACTGAGTTAACTGCTATTCAGATGCCCTGAGAGTATGAGGATGAAGACCCCTCCCTAGCTTCAGCCGGCTAATGGCAGTTCTGTTTAAAATGCTTCTTGTATGGTGAATCCTCAAGTTTGGTGTGATCTGGAGAAGCAGGACATGCACACTAACACTATTACTTTCCAGTCCCCCTATTCAGAGGGAAGCCTGCTGTCAACCTAAAAGTAATTTGCTGCTTCTTCCATCATCCTCCTTAGTCTGACACTTGCCCAGTCCTAATAAGGCCAATGAATAGGTTTCTGCTAGGCTTACCAAATCTGTGCATTCCCATACTTTGAGGCTTTGAAGGTAGAGCTAGTCTGATCAACAGGGTTCCAAAACTCTCTACTACCAGGTAATGTGTAGGAGCTGTACAGAGCATCCATTTCTCCTAGAATTCAGACTTTTTGTCTGAAAGAGGTGGGCGGGGAGAAATACATCCTATGCAGATTCTTTCCTTTGTATGCTTAGGAGACAATATAATTGGTCTAGGAAAAACTTGTGGAACATTCAAGGAGATGCCTGGAATATTCTCTGGCCTTGCTACTAGCTAATGAAGGTAAGTCTGAAGGGTCGTAAACCAAGGAAGCTATTAGGGAAGGCTAAGGAAAGATATTACTTAAGTACATATAGGTTTCTACATGTCAAGTAACAAAGACAGGGGCAATCCATGTTATGTCAAATGATCCAGTTTTTTGGTCTCAATTCAACTCAGTAAACATTTATTACTATTCTCTTTCATGGATATTTCCAGTATGTCCCATTATTAATAGTCTTTTCCCCATACTTATATTACTGCTTATAACTGTTCTAGGTCTTTGTTCAACCAAAACAACTTAAAAAAGAAAAGCCTTTCAAAGAACAACCTGGTTAGGTTAACTGTCCTAACTCACAAGCTATTTCTTAAGAAGTATCAACTGGTTTTTCTGTTTTGTTTTGTTTTGCTTTTTAGCAGTTCATTCCTGCTTAAATGGATGGGACTGTACTAGCAGCCGCATTAGTGTTAGTCCTGAGAGTGACAACCCACCTTTCGGGAGCCCTTTGGTGCTGGATTTACTTCCTTCCTCACACCCCTAGCATCTTTGCATGTACCAAGGAATGGCCAAATTGAGGTGGGTGAACTTACTTCTTTCTGTGTTCCTTTCCCCACGAATACTTATGTTGCTTTTATAGCACGATGGCACCTAATTTGGTAAGTGTTTAAGGGATACCTATATTTTTGTAGGGGAACCGTGTTGAATGTGACATTACTTAATAAAGCCATGATGAATTCCTTTAACATACTCAGTCCTTTCTCAAATCTCAGTCTGTTACTCCTTGGTATAAGGCTCAGTGCATTCCTTACAGAGTGCTATTAGAGTCAAGCCTGCAGTTGGCAATCTTTCAGTCCTTCCTGGATATTAGGGTTTTCAACCTGGAATTCCAAGGTATAAAAATTAGCCTAAAATACACAATCATAGTTGCTGTAGTTAAGCCAGTCTTTTTTTTTGCGGGGGGGAAGAGGGAGGAGAAGGTACAAGGATCTTGTTTGGCCCTGTTACTTAAGATTAACAGCCATGTAATGCAAACCATTTTTCAAACCTAGAGGACTGATTAAAAAATGGAATATGAAAATCTTTACAGTTGGTACATTGTGTAGACAGGGATTTAAAGGATCCTAAACTACATCATGTACTTTGTCAAGAAAACAAACTACACATTTTGAAGCAGTAATTTTAAAATAAACTTTTCTGGCCATAAGGGTTGCAGATTTTTGCCCCCAGAGATGTAAGGGTTTGCCTTGGGCCATCAGTGAAGGAATACTAAACCTTGTCAGGATCTGTAAAATGAAGGCAATGACCTAGTACTGTTCCTTTTCCTTTTCCACCTAAATCATCAAAGTGGGCAAGCTAAAAAAATAAATGCAGTAAGGAAGTTAAAATATACACAATAGAATAAAACCAATTCCACAATCTTGTACACTAAATTTCCCCTTAAGATAATTTCTTAGTGTCCCATTGATCAATTAACAGTTTCATTCAGGAGCAAGGTTACTTAATACTTATGCCTATAGCGAGAAAAAATGCAAAATCAGCTATTATTGTCTGGTGGCAATCCCTTAAAAGTCTACAAGGTGTAGATTTGCAGTGAGAGATTTTCTGTGCTACCCTAATCCCCTCACCTTCCTTTCCTCTCCAGATCAGGAAGTTCAATTCTTAAGGTGAAAGTGAGAAAAAGACATACCCCATAACATTTCTGGCCATTGTATCAGTAGACTCTTTGCCACCCAGAAAGGAGAAGATGAGTAAATAGGTTTAATTTGTGCCTCATAAATTGTGTAATCAACAAGGTTGGCTTAGAAATGATAGGGAAATAATAAGTTGCATTTCTCTTCATCCTGTAATACAATTTCCTTTGACTTGAACATTACTTAGCTCAGTTTTGTTTCACTCTCGTATATTTGAAATTAAATTGCTGCAGAGAATACGGAAGAGGTTTTCTCTTTTGGCTTGTTGAGATTTCTTAGTTTTCTGTGGGAACAATTTGATCCAAGACGCCTGGTCATATGGTACATATGTAAAGTTTATTCTTCAAATAGACTTCTGAATAGACTTTTTTTTTCCTTTTCCATGGTGATTTTAAATAAGCAACTTTAAGGTAGGACACAGGAAGATGGGTCTTTAAGCAGAACTATTGGAATTACAGCAGTTGAAAGTCCTGAGACCAAAGAAAAGTGAGATAGATGCTTTTGAGATGCATTTCCATAATTTAATTTATTTTACTATACTTTGACTTTTTAAAATAAATTTTAATGTTTTCTAATATAATTACACACAAATATAAATATATATTTGGTTTATATATTTATGTAGATAATATACATATATAACGGGGATATTTTTGCATTTTTTGCAACTACATGCATATTTCATCAGTGTTATTTTTCCTGCATAATTTTTTTGTGCATTAAGGATATTACCATTAAATGCTTTAGAAAAAATACAATTTAAAGAACTAAGTTGTTTAGTGTAATTATTTTCCATGAACTAATGCTGATTAGGGTTATTATTTATTAAGTCTGCTTTGAGGATTTAAATTTAAAATTTATCATTTCAGCATCAATTCAGTGATCCTACCTATAATTACAGTTAAACACAGGAAAACCATTTCACCATTTATTTAAATTTTAAAAATTTTAAAATTTTTCATTTAATTTAAAATTTAAAAAATTTAAAATTAAAATAAAAAAAAAACCCCAAGGCTAAAACTAGAAATCGAAACCAAAATTAAAATTCTCAGAAATAAAAGTATTTTTGTAAACTCCTCAAGTCCCAGAAATAAAAAACAAACTTACTTAGTAAGAGTTTCAAATCTGATTTCCTAAGACAGAATGTTTTATAAGTAGAAAGTCTTATTACTGTAGACGACCAGGTGCTATAGAATACTCAGCATTATTCCATAGCTCATTACTTACATCCTCTCCCATCTAGGATAACACAGCTGACCCATCATCTCGAGAAGCTGTGCAGACTGTAACTTCCTTAAGACGTATGTGACTTTATAAGTAAGCAGTAAACAGAATTCATACCTTTAAAACATCCATTCACTAAATAACTAAAGATGTTTTCAGGAAATTCAATCTTGTGCCATAGAAAATGGTAGATATAGGCATCAAACTCAGAATTTTGAGGCAGGCAGGCAGGCAGCCAGGCCAAATTGGCCCGCTTTAGAAAGTGGACAAACCCACAGCCTTCTTTTTAGATGCTGCATACAGCAGATGGGGAAAACCTGGAAAATATTTAAGACTAAATGTTTTTTACTATTTCCACTCACCAGCTCGAAGGGGTCGTGGAACTCCCCCAACAAAGATAGTTTTTCTGGGGTCCAAAGGCTGAGAGCCATCCATTACAAAGTCACTGTCACTTAGGTTCCATGGTCGAATTTGCACCTGAAAAAAAGTTGTTTACTTGGTCCTTACTTCATTTCCAGCAACCCCAATGAGAATAAGTTGACTCTAATGACAAACCCACTAAATTTGTGAATTGTAGTGTGTTTAACCCAATTTGAATCCAGTAAAACAGAGTTCACTTCACCTATATCATATCTTCTACTATACAGGGCTTTGAGGGTTCCACAGACAGGTATGATACCCCAGTGAAACTCTCAGCACCCCACAGGATCATCTTTGGGAGACTGTCTGTAGGTCAGGAAAAGGTATCTTTTCCTGACAGATTTTTCCAGGTAGAGGCAGTAAAACCATGGCCTCTGGTTTGCAATCAAAATCTACAGTGTTTCCAGTCAATTTCCCATTAGCCACTCTGATGGAGGAGAACAAATTGATTCTGGATTATTCATGTAGCTGGCTTTGTAATTCACATACCTCTGAAAATAATGAAGCCATAAGGCAGGAAGATTAATGTACAAGACTCATTAACATTTAACAAGTTAACACACAGTCACAAACACAGATACCGAACAACTAAGATAGTATTAAGAACTTTTGTTTCATCAGCATTTCCTAGGCTTGTCCTCTACAATTCAAAGCCCAAATCCTCCTGAATAGGACTGAATAGAGCTATGTCACTTTGCCAGTACTGATAGTAACAAGAATCTTCAGAGCGGCTAATAAGCCCCCCACTAAAATCAGTTCTGTGATTTCCTGTATTTTGCTTAAATTCCTATATCTGTGTATATGCTCATCTGTAATTTGATTAGATATTAGTAAATATAAAATGTCATATAAATGCTAGCTATTAGCGATTATTATTTTGATCATAGCCATGCTTACAGACCATGCAGGATGCCCAGGTGCACCCTAATGTCTCAAAAAAAATCTGTATTTTTTTTTACTTCTTTATAATTAGTTTTGTTGTGAGTGTTAAATAAAAGTTCAGCTCAGTTTTAATTTCTTTAGTTTTTTTTAATGAATAAAATGGATACCCTTTATGACTGAATAGTCAAACATTCACCTTAAAAATAAATTTCCTGGGTACACATACATGAAACATATTTGTGCACATGTCTGTTATGGCCATCTGCTTATTATAAGTAGTTACGGACTATAATTTGGAAGTTACAACTTCCCCACACTCATCACTGTTCTCACTGCTAGCATTTTCAGACTCCCTTCCATATGCTGAGAAATTAATGACAAAAGAAGTTTCCAAGGAGTTCCTTCATCGGACCCAAGGAGTAGAGCCTCTTCATTTCTAGGGGAATATTTCCCATCCTCTGCTAACAGAAATTTACTGAACTGAGACTTTGATACCTTTCATCTAAAAGTCATTTTAAAACGTTTTCATCCATGTGTTCCCAAAACTTCCTTGGTAATATCACTTTAGTTTAAGATTCACTAGCCCAAAGGATCATAGATCTAAAACGAGAAGGGAACTCAAGGGTCCCATAAACTGAACTACTTACTTTAAATTATTTAAAATAACTTTTTTTAAAATCCCCAGCATTTCATCATTATTTTATCTCAGTCTACTAGTCACCTTAATTCATCAGAGACTTATCAAATAATATTTATTCTTTACCTAGAAAGCTTTTAAATCTACATTTTGAATGCTATCATTCTGGCTGAAAATAGACTAAGCATTTATTGAGCACCTAAGTATTTTGTGCTTATATAACACTGGTGGGCACTGTGAGTGGGCTACTTTTGTTTTTTAAGGATAAAAGATGGACTCTACTCTGCAAGTGCTTACAAATCCACCTGTGCATGATTCTGATGGAAATAAAAGATGGATGAGGCTGAATGTTCCATTCCTTAAATAGCGTTTCTCAGCTTTCTCCAGGACACACATGAAAAATCAAGTTTGTGTACCTATTGCAGAGGTTCATATAAAATAGCAGCAATTTTCTTTCTCTGTTTGGCTTCTGTCCAGAAACATTTTTGGAAGATAACACATTTGCCAAAGACAACCCAATGCCATCGACATCGTCAAGGTAAGTTACTTAGACAGAAATAGACTTGGCCAACTCCTAAAAGCTCCTATACAGCTCACTCTCATTTTCATTTTTCTATACCAAATGACTTGTTGCTGCTTAAAATGGATTATCTGTCAAGAGGAGTGCTTGAGAATCTATTTCCTTTTCTGAGGCAAGGAAATTTTCTCTGCTCTTTGCATACACAATGATTTTGTAGGGATCTAGAAGGATCCATCCAGATCCTTCGCACTTAATCTCCTTGAAGAGTCTTCTTGATGAATTTCAACTGTCTGAACAAGCTACTTTTGCCCACTTCTTTTCGTATTATAGTTTTATGAATTGTGTAAACCTATACATTTAATATCTCTTTAGGATGTCAAGTTTGCCTTTAATTATCCAAACCAAGCACTCATGTCTTCTTGATAGTCTAAGAATTTGTGAGTTTAATGTTAACAATGAAGAAATAGGTTCATTCATATGGCACTTTAAGTCCTTTCCTCACAACTCTGTGCAGTAGGTAAGATGTCATCTCCTTTCCAGACACAAGGAAACTAAGACTCGGAAAGATTAAATGACTTACCCAGGGTCACACAACCAGTTAAGTAGTAGAGCACAACTTGAACCTAAGTCTTCTGGCTCCAAGATGAGCATTCATTCTACTATCACAAAGCCTCTCTTTCTTATTCTTACGTGACATCTCTTTTGTGTACACAGTCTGGTGGATCCTATATATGTCTTCTCTCACATATAGTCCTTCTGTTTGCCACATTAACCCTATTATAAGCAGCCTCAGGATCTGGCAAGAGTGTTTAAATCATCTTGGGTAATGGAGAGTTAGAAATGGAGCAAAAGGCATTTGTCTTAAAAAAAAATCCACAACATGAGTAGTCTCTGTACCCACCTCCCACTACTGTGGTTCCCTTCTACCTCTCAAAAGAACTAATTCACTGAGTATCACACTTGCATCCAATGATGCCCTGAGAGAACTGCTACAACATCACTGTCATCACAAACATGGACAGATGTGAGAATACACAGGGTTCTTCTAATGCTCCATTGTAGATCTGAAAAGCTGGGAGGACAGGAGACAAGTGTTGGCTCAATGGGCCCTATTCATACACGGCACAGTTCAGGACTGCTGCCAGAAAGCAGATGTGATAAGTGCCATAGCTCCATTATTTATGGCCTCTCCTCCTGGAGAAACAATGACATCACCAGCTCTTCCACCACAGCACAGCAGCTCAAGAGAGCATTTTCAAACTACCCAGTGATGACACTGTCAAGTTCAGTCAACTCTTGCCTCTCTATGAGGCACAGATCCCCAGGAATAGGTAGATATTTAGCCTTTTACCTTTGAAAAAATCACTCATGTACAAGGGTGCTCACTATCACATGAGGCGGTTTCTCTCTTCTACCTTTATTCCCCTCTTTTGGTGGTTATTTTCCAGAGTGGTAGCCTTTACCACTTTGTTACACACAATCTTATCTACCTTAGCTTAGGGTTGAGATGTGATTACCATTTTGCCACTGTTAAATAAATAGACTTTCCTTTTTAATATCGACTATGTATATTTAGTGACAATGCTTTATATCTCTGTTATTTGTTGCCACAATTCAACTGTCCTATACTGTGCTTTTCATGGTTAAAACACTCTCTGCTCATCTAGGGAAGCAACCCGATGTAGCTTTGGAAACAGTAATTACACCAAACCACAGCAACGACCCTACCCTCCCTTCTGTAACACTCTAAGGTTTACAAAGCAGAGGTGAAGGATTGCTGGGGTCAACTGTGGGAAAAGTTACACACAGGAAGAGGGACTCCTGGACCTCAGCAGTTCTACTTTTTTTCTTTTTAATTTATTGATAACGTTTTGTTTTGACTCAACACTTTCAAATAGATACCCAACCAGCCCATTACAAATTTTTCCCAGAGAAATTAAGCAAAACCACTTAATAGCAACATCTTAGGATTTTGGGGGCCTCCTGTGAATCATATGTGATTTTCCCCTGTAGCCCTGGGGCAGGGGCAGCCACTAAATGTTTAAACAACCAGTTCTCAGGGGGCATTGAGGGGGAATGTATAGAGGACACACTTTTAACTTTAACTTGCATTACTAACATTTTCTCCATCACTTTCTTATGCTATCAATAAAACAATAAATCAAACTCTGATTTCTTGCATTTGCTGATTTCCGAAGTGCAAATGCTCACAAGGAAAATTTAACTATCAGAGCTGACTCCTAGCACACCCCTGTCCTGGAGTCACTCATGCACTAAGTGTTGCATGGGAAAGGTCCTATATGTCTTGCATGAAATGGACTACATGGACTGCTAGTTCTAAATACATTGCATAGGTTTTCCTGGATCTATGGTTTCATCATCAATGTGGTTCTATATGGATGTTCCCCTACTAAGAGACATCATGTAGCCTCTCTGCTGCCTTCTCATCTTGTGCTATTCCTAGACATGACTCTCCATAAAATTTTCAGATCCACTCACAGCTTCTTGGAGACATGGTTCTTTAACATTTCAATGGTACTCATGAGACACTTGAGCTATCTATTGCCTTTCATATTCATTCATTCATTCTCTCTCTCTCTCTCTCTCTCTCTCTCTCTCTCTCTCTCACACACACACACACACACACACACACACACACACACACACACCCTCCTTTTCATCCTCAATGACGTCTTATACTGGTGGTGTCAAGCTAAAAAAAAAAAATTCCAGATCCCTGCTGGCTGCATATTGACTTAGAAAACAAGTTAACATTATTTATGTTGTACTGAATTTTATTTATTTTGTTAAACATTTACCAATTACATTTTACTCAGGAGTTTTATAGCAGCTTACCACCAGTGAGTTTGACACCTCTGCCTTACGCCATATCTGTTGTACAAATGATCACTGGTAGTATGCAGTAGTCTACATGACCTCCATGCATCTTCCCATTGCCTTTTGTGTTACTTGTAATTTTTGGTTTTCTGAAAGTTCACATCTGATGATTCCCAGCCA